CTGCCCATAAATCAGTTCCTGTCATCAATAATGGACTGGATGACAACTAATAAATTGAAATTAAATCTAGACAAAACAGAAGTACTCTTGGTCAGTCGAAAGGCGGATCAGGGTGCGAGATTACAGCATCTCCCCCTGAAGACCCATTTCGCAGTCTGGGGGTGCTCCTGGACTCATCGCTGACCCTGGAACCCCAGAAGCACCTTCGTGTAATTAAAGCTTGTGTGCCAGCTGTGCCCGTACCTTAAGATGCCAGATATGGCCGTGGTAGTCCATGCCTTAGTTACATCCTATTTGGATTACTGCAATGGTCTCTATGTGGGGCTGCCTTTGAAAATAGTTCAGAAGCTGCAACTGGCTCAGAGATCGGCAGCCAGGGTACTAACTGGAACGCAGTACAGGGAGAGAACCACTCCCATGTTATGCCAGCTCCAGTGGCTGCCGGTCTGCTTCAGGGCTAAATAAAAAAATGCTGGTTATTACCTATAAAGCCTAAATGGTTCAGGTCCAGACTATTTGAAAAACTGAATCTCAGCACACAAACAGCACGAGCACTGCAGTCTGCGAAGGAGGCTTTGCTCTCAGCCCCACCCCCGTCCCAAGTGTGGTTGGTTCGCTCCCCACCTCTGGAATTCAAACCCTAAAAAACTAAAAGTGGCTCCCTCTCTCCTCTATTTTAAAAAGCTTTTAAAAACTCATTTATGCACCTCGGCTTATGGAGAGGAAGAGGACTAATATCTATATCTATCTATCTATCTATCTATACATACATACATACATACATACATACTAGCCCATTGGAAATTGTAAACCATCTGATACTTTTAATGGGTTTTTTTTAGTTGAATTTGTAAGAGTTTATTATGTGGTAAATGTGTGTGATGTGTTATATTATATTTATTGAAGTTTAATTTTCTGTTATTTTTCGGTTTTGCAAATTTTAGAAGTTCATATTGAGAATGTTTTGTCCATTGCCTTGATTTGATTTGTTGCTTTGTCTGTTTTTGGCATTGAATGTATGCCATTTTTTTTGTTGGAAACCGTCCTGAGTCTCTTTGGGGAGATAGGGCGGGTTATAAATAAAGTTGTTGTTGTTGTTGTTGTTATCTGTATTCATTTCCAAAATGTGTTTTTCTCTTAAGAAACTGCAATTTACTACTTGTACCTTCAAGTAATGAGTACACATACATTTATCCATTTCCCTAACCTAACAATACTAAGACATTAAATTATCATTTTATTGCAGTATGGCCATCTGTACTCATTAGTATTTATGATAAAAAATACTGTTGAACTATATCTGATATAACTGGTGGCTTAGCACATGTCTTATATATCTGTGGCAAATTGTGAAAGAGATTTTCTCAATTACTTTAATTCATAGTTAATGTAACCTAATGTTAAATATTCACTTCGGATCATTGATCGACACTGAGGTCAGGAAAACAGTAATCTTCATCAAGGCTACTGAGGTGGAGGTGAGGCCTTAGCCTTGCCCCATCCCAGAGATCCAATGGCTGCCTTCTATTCAAGGGCTTGTCTCGAGTTCATATTCTGAAGATTGACTTATGTGGTTTTGCATCCAGAATTGAGAAACTGATAGTGGCCGTCTCTTAAACTTAATAAAGGCTTGGAGGCTGACCTGATTAGATGATTTGATAGAAGACTCCTGAGAACTCCATGTAATTATGCAATAAATCACTGGCCTAAATCCAGCAAGCACACCAGTGGATCAATATCCTCACTGGTGTCCTTATGTCATGATTATCAGAAAGATAGGCACAGTTCCCTTATCGCTATTTGGTGTACAAAAATACCCAATGGGCTTCCAGAATGGCTCGGTTATTCTGGCCATATTTGATTATGATGCTGTGGCACTTCACTTTGACACATTGCTCATTGCTCTTGCATGCCTTCCAACCATCCCAATTTGAAAAGTACGGTCCTGATTAATCCCCTGTTGTTCCACTTTTTCAGAACCCAGTTTTTCCTTCCTCCTTCCATGTCCTCCTTTTGCCAAGGATTTGAGTCTCCACTCAGCCATATAAACCCACTCTTGTCCAAAGAGGATGGCAACGCCAAACCTCCTCTGAAATAACCCTCCCAAGGAAACCCTAGGATGAGTCCAAATGGGCTTAAAGCACACAACAGCAGCAGCAGATATTCAAATGTTCAAGGAAAACAGTGATTCCCAACCTTTTTTTGAACAGGGACCAATTTGATTTTTTGTTGTTAGGTTCAAGAATAATAAACTGTGTTGAGCTAAAAATGCAGTAAAAGATATTCTAGGCTTCACTCCAGACTTTAAAGGAACCATCCATGTGCTGAATGTATTGCAGTTTTCTCCCAGCACTGAGATGGAGTTTCTTTACAGAGAAGAATTCATGCAGTTTGACATTACTTTAACTCAGTTGTTCTTAACCTGTGGGCCACGGACCACCAGTGGGTCGTGAGGATCAAAATCTGATCCACAAGCCTTTTTATTTTATTTTATTTATTTCTGATTCTTTCATGCCACCTGCCACTCCTTCCCTGTCGCTGGCCATGGCATGAGATTAAATGTTAGTGGCAAAGCAAGGGATGGTGGTTACTCCTGTTTAATGGAATCAGGCACCCAGTTGTGATGGAATTGGGGGTGCTCCCACACTGTAGAATTAATGCAGCTTTCCACTAGTGTAATTGCCATGGCTCAGTGTCACATAGAATAATGGAAGTTGTTATTGTGCTTTTCCTCCATGGTAGGGGGTTGGACTAGATGGCCCATGTGATCTCTTCCAACTCTATTACTCCTTGATTCTATGATTGTATAAGGCAGCATTTTCAACCTGGGACCCCCTCCCGGGGGGGGGGGTCATAAGGGGAGTTCAGAGAGGTCACCAAAGACCATCAGAAAACATACTTCTGATGATCTTAGGAAGTCCTTTGGCAGAGAAGGCTGAAGAGCTTTCTGCTTGTCCTTGAATGAAGTGAATGAGTGAATCCTCCCACCACAAGCTCTCCTCCACTGTGATTGGCTGGCCCCTCAGCCAAGGGATGGGCTGTTTCTGAGACTCCGAGTGGGGGAGGGGAGAGCAGGCATGCTTGGTGCATGACAGCATGGTGCACATGTGAGTGCGAGGGAGAGCATGCAAGGCTGGAGGGAGGCTCGTGCCAGCAAGTCTCTTCTAGGCATGGGGGTTCTGTGTGAAAAGTTTGGCCCAATTCTATCATTGGTGGGGTTCAGAATGATCTTTGATTGTAGATGAACTATAAATCCCAGCTACTACAACTCCCAGATGTCAAGGTCTATTTTCCACAAACTCCACCAGTGTTCACCTTTGGGCATATTGAGGATTCGTGCCAAGTTTGGTCCAGATCTATCACTGTTTGAGCCCACAGTGCTCTCTGGATGTAGGTGAACTACAACTCCAAAACTCAAGGTCAACGCCCACCAAACTCTTCCAGTATTTTCTACTAGTCGTGGGAGTTCTGTGTGCCAAGTTTGGCTCAATTCCATCATTGGTGGAGTCCAGAATGCTCTTTGATTGTAGGTTAACTATAAATCCCAGCAACTACAACTCCCAAATGTCAAGGTAAATTTTCCCCAAACTCCACCAGTGTTCATTTGGATATATTGAGGATTCATGCCAAGTTTGGTCCAGAGCTATCACTGTTTGAGTCCACAGTGCTCTCTGGATGTAGGTGAACTACAACTCCAAAACTCACGGTCAACACTCACCAAACTCTTCCAGTATTTTCTACTGGTCATGGGAGTTCTGTGTGCCAATTTTGGTTCAATTCCATCGTTGGTGGAGTCCAGAATGCTCTTTGATTATAGGTGAACTATAAATCCCAGCAACTACAACTCTGAGATGTCAAGGTCTATTTTCCACAAACTCCACCAGTGTTCACATTTGGGCATATTGAGTATTCATGCCAAGTTTGGTCCAGATCTATCACTGTTTGAGTCCACAGTGCTCTCTGGATGTAGGTGAACTACAACTCCAAAATTCAAGGTCAATGTCCACCAAACCCTCCCAGTATTTTCTGTTGATCATGGAAGTTATTTGTGCCAAGTTTGGTTCAATTCCATCATTGGTGGAGTTCAGAATGCTCTTTGATTGTAGGTGAACTATAAATCCCAGCAACTACAACTCCCAAATGTCAAAGTCTATTTTCCACAAACTCCATCAGTGTTCACATTTGGGCATGTTGAGTATTTGTGTCAAGTTTGGTCCAGAACTATCACTGTTTGAGTCCACAGTACTCTCTGGATGTAGGTGAACTACAACTCCAAAACTCAAGGTCAATGCCCATCAAACCATTCCAGTATTTTCTATTGCGCTTGGGAGTTCTGTTTGCCAGGTTTTGCTCAATTCTATCGGTGGAGTTCAGTATGCTCTTTGATTGTAGGTGAACTATAAATCCCAGTAACTACAACTCCCAAATGTTAAAGTCAATCCCTCGCCAACCCTGGGCGTATCAAGTATTTGTGCCAAATTTGGTCCCTTGAATGAAAATACATCCTGCAAATCAGATATTTATATTACGATTCATAACAGTAGCAAAATTACAGTTATGAAGTAGCAACAAAAATAATTTTATGACTGGGGATCAGCACAACATGAGGAACTGTATTAAGGGGTTGCAGCATTAGGAAGGTTGAGAATCACTGGTTTAAGGTCTTCTCTGGCAGTGGCAAAGAGTGCTGGTGCATCACCAATTACAGCTCCCGGGATTCAACAGTATTGAGCCAAGGAAGTTAAAGTGCTGTTAAAGTGCATTGCAGTGCAGATAGGTAGTCAGGTCGGTAGATAAATAGGTAGAGGAGGTCCTTGAGCCTGCCTGGCAGTAGGTAGGAGAGAAGCTACCCTTGACCTTGGCAGGGAGAGGCTACTGCCCGCGGTTGTTTGTGCGGGCAAGAGGTGGGCGGATCAGGGCCAGGCGGGAAAGACAGACGAGCGGATTAGACAGAGGAGGAGGAGGAGGAGAGGAAGGAGGGGAAGGAGGAGGGATTTGGCACGGACTCGGACCGAAATAAAAGGAAGATGCGCCCGTCCAGAGCGGACACCGACCCAGAGCCCAAAGGTTGCCGAGGAGAGTCAGCCAGAAGCGCAAGGAGATGGAGAGATACACCAAGGCAGAGACCCTGGAGCTGCGGAGGAAGCATATCGGGTGAAGCTCCCGGGGCAAAACTGTGGGGTTTGGGGCGGGGAGAGGCATAGCCAAGGGGAATGGGAATGGAAGGGCAATGCCAAGCCCCTCTGAGACGCCAGGAGCAAGCTCTCCATAGACACACCACACTACGCACCGGCCCTCTCTGTCTCCAGTCTCCCCAAAGGATGGGCGCATCTGCCCTGCATTAACTGCCATGGCTCAATGCTATCGAATCTTGGGAGTTGTAGTTTGGAGCTAAAAACCTGGCAAAACTGTAAGTCCCATGATTCTCATGACATTTAGCCATATCAGTTAAAGTTGTGTTGAATTGCATTCATTCTACAGTTTAGACCAGGCATGGGCAAACTTTGGCCCTCCAGGTGTTTTGGACTACAACTCCCACAATTCCTAACAGCCGGACTACAACTCCCACAATTCTTAACAGCTGGACTACAACTCCCACAATTCCTAACTTTGGCCCTCCAGGTGTTTTGGACTACAACTCCCACAATTCCTAACAGCCAGTAGGCTGTTAGGAATTGTGGGAGTTGAAGTCCAAAACACCTGGAGGGCCAAAGTTTGCCCATGCTTGGTCTAGATCAGTGTTTCTCAACCTTCCTAATGCCACGATCCTTTAATACAATTCTTCATGTTGTGCTGACCCCCAACCATAATATTATTTTAGTTGCTACTTCATAACTGTAATTTTGCTACTGTTATGAATTGTAATGTAAATATCGGACATGCAGGATTTTCATTCACTGGACTAAATTTGACACAAATACCCAATATGCCCAAATTTGAATGCTGGTGGGGTTGTGGTGGGCATTGATTTTTCATTTGGAAATTATAGTTGCTGGGATTTATAGTTCACCTACAATCAAAGAGCATTCTGAACTCCCATGACCAACAGAAAATACTGGTGGATTTGGTGGGCACTGATCTTGAGTTTTGGAGTTGTAGTTCACCTACATCCAGAGAGCACTGTGTACTCAAACAGTGATGGATCTGGACCAAACTTGGTGTAAATACTCAATATACCCAATTGTGAACACTAGACCTTGACATTTGGTAGTTGTAGTTGCTGTTATTTATCAAAGAGCATTTTGAACCCCACCAATGATAGAATTGGGCCACACTGCCCACACAGAACCCCCCCCATATCCAACAGATAATGCTATTTTCTTGTGGTCTTTGGTGACCCCTTTGACACCCCTCACAACCCCCCCCCCCCCCCCGGGGTCCTGACCCCCAGGTTGAGAAATGCTGGTCTAGATACATCCTTTGTCTCCTCTATAACTATCTTTGAGACATCCCTCCTGGTATGAAATCCCCTTAAATTAAACTGGAGCTAGTGCCAGAAATTGAAGAAGTACACCAAGATTGATAGGTTGTCATTGTGTACAGGAGCTTTGATGGAAAAAACAGTTTAGGAGAAAAGCAAGAGGCTCAGTATTATTATTTCTTATTACTAGTTATACCTTGCTTCCCAAAACACTACACTGCTAAAGTACTATTATTCCATTTCAATTGTTATTGCAACATGTTCTTCAACTCTGGGGTTTGGAGTTTAGAGAGGCTCAAAAACTGTCTGCCTGAGGATTTCCAGTGCCCCTTCCTAAACTACACGTTACAATTCCATATAATGTTGTTATGACAGGTAAAGTGGAATAAGATTGCCATAGCAGTATAGTGTAATAGGGTGGAGAAGCAATCAACCAGTTAAGCACATTGATCCCGACTTTTTCTTTTCCAAAATGTCTGTGGTCTTGATTCCCAGCTGTAGACTTTTCTCAAGCCATAGCTTTAAAAAGATATATAAGGGGAAAAGGGGTAATGAAATCCAAATGAAATCCTAAGCAAGCCTCTAGCAGAGATTTTTTTTATCCTTTCTTCTATTTGCAATTTGTTCCATTTTCCCCTTGTATGGTTTCTCCAGAATGTTATCTTCAGAACTATGAGACATTTATATGGGTGTTCAGTGAGTTAAACTGCTGAGCTGCTGAACTTGCTGACCAAAAGGTTGGTGATTCAGAACTGGGGAGCTGAGTGAGCTCCCGCTGTTAGTCCCAGCTTCTGCAAATGTGAGTAGATCAATAGGTACCACTCTGGTGGGAAGGTAATGGCACTCCATGCAGTCATGCTGGCCACATGACCTTGGAGGTGTCTACTGACAACATCAGCTTTTTGGCTTAGCAATGGAGATGAGCACCACCACCCCAGTTGGATACAACTACACCTAGTTAGACACTACTAGACTTAACCTTTACCTTTACTTACTCTGTATTTTTCAATGTATAACTTTGGACAATCACAAATATAAGCTACTTTCCCAGAACAAAAAATCATGAAGATGTGATCCACCGTTAAGAAGTTTTACATTTTATTAATTTCAGTTGGATATCTGAGTGTAACTTGCCATTCTCCTGCTGAAATCCATAAACTATGCAGTCTCTTTATTTGGGGGTTTTCTGCAGCTCATTAGGGCTTATGGTGCAACTTGTGCATTTTAACTTAGAGGTAAACCCCACTAAACGCTTATGCTTGATTAGGTTTGTGCAGATTTGGCAACTTTAGAAAATGTGAAGGGTTCATATCCTTGTTTGGAAAGCACCTTCATTTTTAAAAACCTTGCATTTTATTCTCCCTTTTTTTCTAAATGGTCATTATTATTTAAGAGAAGTTAAATTTTATTTTGAACCCCACTCCTTTAAAATTTTATCTTAATTGAAAACAAAAGGAGTCCCCATTGGCACAGTTGGTTAAACCCTTGAGCCAGCAGGACTGAAGACTGACAGTTAGGAGGTTTGAATCCAGGGAGAATGCGGATGAGCTCCCTTTGTCAGCTCCAGCTCCCCATGCAGGGACATGAGAGAAGCCTCCCACAAGGATGGTAAAACATCAAAACGTCTGGATGATCCCTGGGCAACATCATTGCAGAGGGTCAATCACACACTAGAAGTGACTTGCATTTACAACCTCCCCCTTTATTTACCTTGCTGTTGTTGTTGTTGTTGTTGTTAATACTGGCAAGAATCACTCTTATGATAAATTATTGTTATCTTATTAATATTTTTTCCATAAAACTGATTCTCCATAACACAGATATATATATACCTGTCTATCCAAACAGCCGTCCTTGCTATTGTAGGCCAGGTTTCAATGCCCTTAAGTCAACCCCTGTAAAAATAGTCTGATTAACAACTTGAAAGGTAGAGCACAAGAAACCTGGCCAAGTTTAGCCGATGCATGGAGATTCCTATCCTGCGAGTGGCTAATGTTAGAGTCCATGGTCTACATGTCAGCATGTGAGATTGTATAACACTCACCGATCCCTCTACTCATAGTCCTTGCATAACTGGAGTTATGTAAAATTGAGCCTGTGTTTCTGCTTGTCTAAAGGGGAGAAAAGTTCTGTGTAAACTCTTTGAGAGTATGTTGATTCCCCTGGTTGTTATTGCAGCCCTTATTAAGCTGGCTTGGCTCTAGCTGGTTTCAAAGTAGATGCGGGAACAAACTAAAAATATCAGAGGCCAGGGCTTTTGGAGTGCTTTGTTTTATAAAACTGAATGTTTAAAACACTCAGGAACAAAGCTCTGCAAAAATCTGTTATTGCTTCTGTGTTTAATGAACACAGCTAGATACATGTACAATGATTTCCCTTCGTACATAGCATTAGCTTATCTGTTGTGGAAAAAACTCTCTCATAAAATAATAATAATAATAATAATAATAATAATAATAATAATAATAATAATCTTTATTTCTATACCACCTTATCTCCCCGAGGGGATTCAGGGTGGTTTACAACAGAAAATTGGCAAACATTCAATGCTGGCATAACATAACAAACAAATCAAATCAAAAGCAATAAAATAAACAACATCAGGTGTACTTATAGAAACAACTCAACTCACCATAGTGTGTGGCTTTTTGGAATGGCTTTCCTTCACCTTCATCTCCATCTCACTTTCTTTAGACTCATATGTGCCACATAATACAGGTAGATGGGGAACTGAATTGGGGGATGGGGCTGGTTTATGCAACTCTTTTGATGTTATATTATTACAAAATTTCTTAATACTTCCCAATCTTTGGTACTTGGATTGTTACTAAACTCCCAACTCAAGAACTGGAAACATAACGTTGGACAGGAAAAGAGATTTAAAGATGGGCTTAAAGCCAATCTTAAAAACTGTAGCATAGACACTGAGAACTGGGAAGCCATGGCTCTTGAGCACTGTAACTGGAGGTCAGCTGTGACCAGCAGTGCTGCAGAATTTGAAGAGGCATGAATGGAGGGCGAAAGAAAGAAATGTGCCAAGAGGAAGGCACGTCAAGCTAACCCTGACCAGGACTGCCTTCCACTTGGAAACTGATGTCCTCACTGTGGGATTACATGTGGATCAAGAATAGGACCATCATCCTCAAACTATGAGGGATTGCCTAACTACTTAAATTGTTCTGAGGAAGAAAACAGAAGCAGAACTCTGCCCATGTACAGAGGCATTCTGTTTTTTTCTGAGTGACTAAACCCTTTATATGTTTTTTTTAAAATAAAGTCAATCAATGGGTTACATGAACATCCTGTTTAGGTACAGTCTGGATGCGAGACCTTTCTCTCAGATAGTTCCTGTTCCCAGTTCTTGATGTCAGGCCAACTGTCCCAAGATCTAGAAGGCTGATACGCCCATTTAGATACATTGTGATACACTGGGGCCAGCATCTTCTTGCTGTACTTAGTGTTTCCAGGTTTTCAAAACAGCAAAAAGGCACAGTGTAAATGTATGACATTCAGTTTTGAAGAAAGTAAAGCATTGGAGGTAGCAGGCTTTGGCAGTCTTCAAATCTTCAAAACAATAAGTGCTAATGAATATGATTGGGTTTATTTTCATTTACTGTATGTCCTCAGTTTTTCACAATATAAAAAAGGGTAAAGGTTTCTCCTCACATTAAGTCCAGTCGTGTCTGACTCTGGGAGGTGGTGCTCATCTCAATTTCTAAGCCAAAGAGCTGGTGTTGTCTGTAGACACCTCCAAGGTGATGTGGCCAGCATGACTGCATGGTGCACCATAACCTTCCCACAGAAGCGGTACCTCTTAATCTACTCACATTTACATGTTTTTGAATGGCTAGATTGGCAGAAGCTGGGTCTAATAGCTGGAGCTCACCCTGATCCCTGGATTCAAACCGCCAATCTTTTGGTCAGCAAGTTCAGCAGCTCAGCAGTTTAACCCACTGTACACCCATATAAATGTCTCATATTTCTGGAGATAACATTTTGGAGAAACCATACAAGGGGAAAATGGAACAAATCACAAATAGAACAAAGGATAAAAAATATCCCTAACCCTTTCCCTATATAAACATCTCTAAACCTGGGGTGCATCTTAGAATCATAGGTGTATTTTATGTATTTTTGTCATTGGTGGTGGTACTGAAATTAGGGTGCATCTGTCTTACAATTGAAGAAATATGGGTAGTTTTGTTGTGCTGCTGGTGGAGTGTGACCATGACAACTCTTGAGGACTCGTGAATAATTGGCATTCATACATGCATACAAGAGGCCATTCCAGAAATACACTTAACTAAAATGCCATGATTTTATCCTTTTCAGGCCCTCATGCAAGGTGTTCTTTGCTAAGGATCCCATCAAGATTGTACAGGCTCAAGGGCAGTATATGTTTGATGAGAATGGAGAAAAATACTTGGACTGCATCAATAATGTAGCACATGGTAAGAACCATAGCTTAATATGTGTGACCCCTTTATTGTGTTTTTATCGGATATTTTTGTGTTGAGGACCACCTTATCTTTATATCCAAGAAAGGTGGGCTATAAATCAAATAACTTGTGTAATTAAATGGCTGGCAATCTTTTGAAAGGTCACATGTTCCAGATTTGGATTGGGGTGGGATGTTCACAGATTTTTCTTGTTACATCCATTGGCTCAGACTCTGATTTACTTACTTGGTCCTGTTTAGTTGGGCACTGCCATCCAGACGTGATCAAAGCTGCAGTGAAACAGATGGAACTTCTCAATACCAATTCCCGTTTCCTCCATGACAATCTGGTCCAATATGCCCAACGCCTCACAGCTACACTTCCAGAACAGCTATCTGTTTGCTATTTTGTAAACTCTGGGTATGTTTGAAAGACTTTTCCTTGTCATTATCTTTTAGAAACATCTGTAAATTTCATTTCTTATTTTAATATCACACTACTGATATAGTACTGAATTCCACGTTCACTGATAATGCAACATCCTATTGAATCTGCAGATTAGGGAGAGACATTTACAATTCTCAGCCAGAGAATTCTTAGGCCTTACTAAACTATAAATCCTAGAAGTCCACAACATGTTGCCATGGCAATTGAAGTGGCATTAAAGCACTATAACAATGTCATATGTTAAGGCCCTAAGACCTTGTGAAGTTTGACAGTTGTTCATGTGTTAATATTCTCTTGCAGATCCGAAGCAAATGATCTTGCTTTACGTCTAGCTCGCCAATACAGCGGTCATCAAGATGTGATTACCCTTGATCAGTAAGTATCCTGAAGGAAGACAAGAAATATATGTGCTTGTAATGGAAATTGAACATAGCTCACAGCTTCCCTTTTGGGTAAAGAAAATGTTCTCACAAAAGGGAAAAAAATCCACCCTGAGTTCCTTTAGGGAGATAGAGCGGAATATAAATAAAGTTGTTGTTGTTGTTGTTGTTGTTGTTACCTAATTGTCTGATAGGAGACTCCAGCACATGGGATCAGTTTGTATTTATCTTTCATTTCAGTGCTTATCACGGCCACGTTACTTCCTTGATTGACATCAGCCCATATAAATTTAATCAGTTGGGGAAAGATGGCAAAAAGGAATTTGTCCATGTGGTGAGTATTAGACTTTTAGTTGCAATTTCAACACATATTAAAGACATATATGTGACACTATTGTATTCCTGTGTGCATTCTCGGTCTAATAATGATAGCAGTAAGATAGATGTGGTGCTTCAAAACCATTTATAGAAACAGAGTTCAGAGAAGTTACTTTTAAAATACATTATCTAGGGAAATTCTGGGATGTCTCACAGTAATTTTGCTATTAAATCTGTCAGTAGTCATGCTGGTTGCAGGATTCTGGATGTTGTAGACCAAAAAAGGTAACTTTCCCAGACTGCGTATAGAATACACAGTTATGTAGACATTATATTGGTTGGAATAATACCTTCTGATCAGGGTCTCTTCCTGCTTAGCCAAATGTATTCTAGAATCATAGAATCATAGTTGGAAGAGTCCTCATGGGCCATCCAATCCAACCCCTTGCCAAGAAGCAGGAAAGTTGCATTCAAAGCACCCCTGACAGACGGCCAGCCAGTCTCTGTTTAAAAGCCTCCAAAGAAGGAGCCTCCATCACACTCCGGGGCAGAGAGTTCCACTGCTGAACAGCTCTCATAGTTAGGAAGTTCTTCTAGTCATTTCTTTCTTCTTGTTGCTCATGGTGCCTTCAAGTCATTTCCACGTTACGTTGACCCTAAAGCAGACAACAATAACATGTCTCAACCAGAAACCATCTGTCAGTAAATATATTTAATAGTTGCAATGTAACATTCCGTACCATATTTGTTTCATGGTACTTTAACATCATGATTTTTAATCTATTTTTGTCTCCATTTGCTTACATCTGGTTTGAATTTTATTTCTTTCAATATTGTTGTGAGCTTCCTTCAGTTCCTGTTCTGAGAAAAACACATAATATAAGACAAATAACAAAATAAATATTTGGTAGTATTTCCAGCTTCTTACTAAGAACAGATCTTAGTTGACCTTTTGTCTTTCATGACTTCTGTACTATTTGTCCAAGTACAAGTAATACACAATTTCTTGAAAACCACAGGCAGTAAGAAATGGGGGGAAAGAGGGAGTATGTGAATTTGATCCTGAGTTAATTTAGATGAAATCAATCAAAGCTTAGATGCACCTAATTTAAATCCCATTAATTTTAGTTGGTTCATTTAGCATGTTGATGTCTTGAACATCCAACCCATTACGTTTTGAGAATTATATTAACCTACTATTGAAAAATGTCAAAACAGCAGATGTTATATAGAGAATTGGTGTAGTGTAGTCATCTGAGCATTTGACTATGACAGGGTTCAATTTTGCCTGCTCGACCATGGAACCCACTGGGTGGCTTTGGCGAGTCACATAGTCTTGGCACCAAAAAAACCCATGATAGGTCTGCTATAACTTGAAAATGACTTGATGGCACAAACCAGCAGCAGCAGTAACAACAACATTTTATATAAAGCTTTCTGTATCTACAAACATGAAAGATAGGTAATTATTCTGTTTCTTTTGGAAGATAATAGCCTGGAAGATTGCAATTACAAATGACCATTACAAAATTGTTAAAACTGTTGTATTACTTTTTAGGCGCCTTCTCCAGATATATACAGAGGAAAGTACAGAGAAGACCACCCAGATCCAGCAAGTGCTTATGCTGATGATGTCAGAAAAATTATTGAAGAAGCTGAGAAGAATGGCCGAAAGGTATGTAAAGAGTAGAGAAAATCAAGATGTGTTTAAATTTATCTACCCCGCCCTCCCAACCTTGAAAAATGCTTATCCTGATTAGGTGGCCTCCACTGCAATTTTATTTACTTGAAATGCATTTCATTTCTATGGGATTCCTGGATTTTAAGGTGCTTCCTTGTCCTTCACCCTTAATTCACCACTCTTACAACCACTGGCACAAATATCATGTAGAAATCAATTAGAAAAGACACCAGACCACCCATTTCCTATTTGATGTCAGGAGTTACTCAGCAAAAAATAATTCCAAATTTGTTCTCCATTCACACATCAAAGTCCTGTTGACATCCATGAGGGATGTAGAGAGCTTTCACAGGAATGCATGAAACTATTTACAATAGCAAAAGCTTCTCTGTCACCTAAAAACATGGCAATATGTGCACCATTGATACATCTTTATAATAACAAAAGGATCTAAGTATTCTCAGAAGGCAGTATACCAAGCTTTTGAGAATTCCTCTTCATACTCTTCCAACACAAAGTAAACTTACCAAAAAAATTATATAAGGGATACAGCGGTGCACTACCATCTGAGAGAGATAAAATTAAATTCAGTTTACTTCTTCATGTGCTGTTTATTTTGATATTTTTATCATCCTTGTGGGAGGCTTCTCTCATGTCCCTGCATGAGGAGCTGGAGCTGATAGAGGGAACTCATCTGCCTCTCCCCAGATTCGAACCTGCAACCTGTCAGTCTTCAGTCCTGCCGGAACAGGGGTTTAACCCACTACGCCACCAGGGGCTCCTTGATATCCACAGGGATTCTGGAACCAAACCCCAATGGAAGCAGAGGGCCCACAGTATCAGAAAGTACCTGATATTTCCATCTGGAAACAGGAAATGGTTTCTAAAAGCAAATAATAATAATAATGGATATAGAAAACTGTAGATATAATTTTAGTCTAATTTATATTTTGATAGTGGAGAAATTCAGCACTTTAAAAATGGTAAGGAAAATGAATGGGAGCAACAGGATGCAGTGATTAAGAAATTTTAACTCTAGAAACAAAAAAGAAAGTCTAAACATGCCATATTTAAAAGCAAGCAAGAAACTTAAAGTACAAAATAGCCATCAATTGTGTTAGATGAGCTTTTAAAAACAAAGGTATTAAGGAAAAGGAAGTGAAGAGGAATCTGAAACTATTGTGCATAATTATGATGAAGATGATTGAATTGTCTTGATGTTGCTAATAAACATTCTTCTCAAGATGTCAAATTTTAGAAAAAATACAATAATGAACAAACTAAAGCATAGAACACAGAATATTAACTAAGAATTAGCTATGAATTAAATGTACAAAAACTTAAAAATACAGCTCCCATGGATGGTCAATTTTTTAAAAAATGGACTCTTATTTGTCTATTTTGCCAAAACTTCTTTTTAGCCACCTTAAAATCCAAAGGATTCTACCACCTGTCTTGAATTTGCTACTGAGATTTGCAAAAGAAACTAACGGATAGTTTTTATTTTCTTCTCCTTTTTCTGTTTTTCTCCCCCCTCTCGCATATCTTCATAGGTTTTGGTGTCGTAGACCTTGTGCCAGGACACGTTGATAAAAGTTTCACAACTATGGGGAACCTTCTACTGCCTGCCTGTAGCGTACCTCTTCGAATATAGTGTACACTTCTTTACACGTTACTGCCTCACCTTCTTTCCAGGAAGACTGCATTGCCCTGCTCGCTTGGACCCTGCATATGCTGAGGGAGGGTTGTACAAAAATATAAAAAAATATTATGGGAGTCAGTCATTTAAATAGCAGATTTGGGCTGATCATCCCAAGAGATTTGGGGGAAATGAAAAGCATAAGTCTGAAAGAGAGGAAAATGTAAGCTTAATGTTTCAGTCTTATCTGAGCTGCAGATCGTGATTCATAACAATATTGATGTTTTGTTTTTCATTCCTAGCAACTGGAATTATTTCAGCTCTAGGCTCTTTCTTTTGTCAAGTGCCTTGTCTTGATATGTTATTTGCTTAAGTGAGCCTCTTGAGCAGGGGTGCCCAAACAATCTATGCATACCTTGATATTTTAGGTTAGTTCATTTGCAATTTCAACACCTAAAGTTGATGAAATGTAACAGCACATAATGTTGATATGAGTCCTGCCAATTAAACAACTATTATGGGAATTATTAGTAAAAATAAACAACGCATCCGAAGAATGAACATTAAAGTTCATTGTACAACCGAAAGTAGATATTTATTTGGTATACTCCTGCTAAAGTAAAAACATATATATAGATGAGTACTTTGAAAAACCAAATCCAGTCCTTTTTGAACTTGAGGTCATATCATCGGCTTTATGCTGAAAATGATTTTTTTGGTAAGAAATATACTGATTTGGGCATCCCTGGCACTTTATTTTGTGCTTGCTATTGCTGCTCATAGTTGTTCAAGAGACAAATTAGATTCCCACACCATTTGCTCATTTGTTTCACGTGTTTTATAGGGTTCATGCCTGTAATTATTGGCTTTTTTTGGAAAAGAATAGGTAGAAGAGCTTTCTTCTTACAACATCTTCTTTTACATAGATCGCTGCCTTTATTGCTGAGTCCATGCAGAGTTGCGGAGGCCAAGTAATTCCACCTGCAGGCTATTTCCAGAAAGTGGCAGAGTATGTACAGTGATTGGAATGGGTTAACTGTAGTGGGTTACTTAATACAGCAAGGTGCAGAAAGAGATGATGAGGCACAGAAAGAGTAAAAAAAACCTTGCTGATCTTACTTCTTTGGGAATAGCTGCTTGTTGCTTGATCTTTGTACAACTCAGGGCCTTTTACATATTGTTGGATTGTTCCATTATCCCTAACCATCATTTAATTGATTAGACTGGTGGAAGTTGCAGTCTAACAACATGCAGAATGCCACTAGTTGCCAACTTTACATTCTAAATTATTAATATTAATTTTTCATACATTTTAAAATAAGTATTACAGAACAAGCGAGTAATTTTTCCCAGAATGGAGCTTAGCAAGTAATTACATTCAGCAAGTAAATATCATGGAAAGATATCTGTGGATCTGAAGCAGTTCAAATACACTTCTTATTGCATAGTACCTTAGAACAGTTGCACATATTAAAAAAGATGTCCATATGACATATTTGGATGTTTACCCCATTATTGTTTTGTGTGTGTGTGTTTTAAAAAAAACCTAACCAGCTGAAAACTAGCAAGTTGGGAAGAAAATCAGATTAGAGCCTTATTATTTGTGGTATTAGTCCATTGTAGATAGGAGGTGTTTTAAATAAGGTAGCATTCAAACCTGGGCCTTCTATTTCTATTCTGAAATACAAGGATTAAACTACATATTTTTTCTAAAGATATGTTTATATTAAAAATAGTCAGCGCTCCAAGATTAAAGTGATGAATAGTAATCATTCCTACTGCAGTCCTATACATGTCAACACAGAAATAATTTAGTGGGACTTAATACTTAAGATACAACTTATAATGCAACAAGTCATAATGTAAACATGACACTTTCAAAGATCATTTTATTTAGCTATTTGGTTGTTGATAGTGAACAAGACTATCCAGTGTGTCAAACCCATCCTATCCCATTACCTCCCTCTGGTCCCAGAATAAAATCCCACATTATCTGCTTTGAACTGGAATATATGGCGGTGTGGACTAAGATAACCCAGTTCAAAGCAGATATTGTGGATTATCTGCATTTATATTCTGGGTTATATGGCTGTGTGGAAGGGCCTCTGTGTCTCCTGATCCACACTGATAGGTCTCTGACCTCCTGAAGCACTCGAGTCAGTTGTATCTTGTCATGCTACAAATAAGATATGACATGATAAAACTTTGTTGTTTTTGTTTATTTTGTGGATCATGCAAAATCCATTGTTTTGCTAGAAAGGGATGTACTTAAACCAATTCTGTAGAGTTGTGTAAGATGGAGAGGCATCTGGAATGTTCCTCTTCTTTAATTTGCAGATCTGTCCATAAAGCAGGTGGTGTTTTCATAGCTGATGAAGTCCAGGTTGGTTTTGGACGAGTTGGAAAATGTTTCTGGGGATTCCAGCTACAAGGTGAAGACTTTGTGCCTGACATTGTCACTATGGGAAAGCCAATTGGAAATGGCCATCCAATGTCTTGTGTAGTTACAACAAGAGAGATTGCTGAAGCCTTTGGAGCCTCTGGATTGGAGTACTTTAATACTGTGAGTATTTCCTTTAATACTACAATATAGAGATTCGAATTCAGGCTAAATTACATTGATAATAATCAGTTGATCTGTACATATTAAAATTGTCATAAGAAATTTCAGGTAACCTAGTAGCAAGTCAAGATTTTTTTCCCACTGTGACAGTTCAGACATTCAGCAAGAATGGAAATGGCTGGTCTGATATAACCATTCACCTGGCACATATAGGTATATGCATTTTGGACAGAGGTATAAATATTATATTCCTTTGAGGATATCTGTAAACATTGCAGATATACCAGGCACACAAGCTGGCTGAGATGGATAACTTGAATCTTCACTCACAATTTCATAGCAAATGTTAACAGTATCACACAATTCTTTGAAGTTTGTTCATGTGTTGGGTGATCAAGTGACATTCTCAATATTGTGTATTGAATAGAATTATACATTTTCTATTGATCAAGTCAATAGAAAATGTATTCTATTCAATACACAATATTGAGAAGGGTGGATCAACAGTCATTCATAGAGTAGAAGTCACTGAAATTAATAGGATTTAAGACAGTAATTACTGTCTTAGGTTCAATGGATTCTATCAGGTTTGCTATGAGACTGACATATTATGAGACAGGACTGAGTAGAAAAGTATTTTGAAAGACTGATAGGAAAAGAGGAAGACTGTGTTACAGATAGATAGACACAATCAAGGAAGCCACTGCCCTGGGTCTCAAAAAATTGAGCACAGCTGTTGATGGTTTGAAGATATCTCATTCATAAGGTCACATAAGGCAAAGGCAAAACAAAGGCTGATTACATCTGACTCCATTAACTGTCTTGTTTGTGGTTTATATATCAAAAGGAACATGGGAAATAGCATAAGTGAACAGTAGAGTGGTCACAGAGGTTCTGAAGTTACGATCATCAAAAAGCACATAGATATGCATGTGTTTAATACACATCAAATATACATATATGCACACATAATTGCTACAGTTTAATCAGAAATATAATGTGTTTTGCTAGAGTGGGGAAGATAGCTCCCAGGTGACCTTTGTACTTGTTCAGTCTGCTATCCAAGTATTAGCTCCTAATAGGAAACAAGTGTCATAGTCGTATTGGTCTTTATCCTTAACAGATTTGCACTATTCAGGTTTTCAAACAAAGTTTGACTTCAGATAGAGAACTGTCTTCTATAAAGTAAAACCAATGGCCACTCTGCACAAGTACTAACCTCTGTCTTGCTCACAATATTCACGAAACTTTGAAGAAGACTGAAGCAACAGTAACTTTCCCCTATTCTTGCTCTTAGTTTGGTGGCAATCCAGTATCCTGTGCAATTGGCCTAGCTGTCTTGGATGTAATAGAGAAAGAAGATCTCCAAGGGAATGCCACACGTGTTGGGAACTATCTCAATCAACTGCTGAAGGAACAAAAACAAAAACATCCATTGGTGGGAGATGTCAGGTAGGATTAACTGTGAAAGAATATATTTGCATTATGCCCAGATCCAGAATAGTATATAGTAGGATTCCACATAGGAAGATAACTACCTCCACCACTTCCTCTTAGCATCCATTGCCTGTGATGATTGCCACACTCCACCTAATGGTGATGCTGCCTCTGTCATCATATCATCTCTTAGCAAGTGGCTCGGATAAGGACTGTTATACCTCTATAAACAGGGAGAACATGGCAGGGGAAAGCTGACGGGGGTGAAGAGGCAGGGCCACCACACATGTACTTCTCTTCCTATAAAAGTGAAGCAAATAAATGTATGATATTAATCATGTAGCATCAAGAATGCACAGACAAGGCTATTGGAAGTTCCTTTAGGAGGAGAAGCTGAAGCTATTCTCATTTTATTTGATATCTAGTTTTGTGTCTGGAGGAGGGCTTTCATTGTTATGCCTGTCTCTTAGAAGACCTATTTCTTTGCTGTGCACAGCCCCTAAACCAGCCTGCTGCCTCATGAAGTGGTTGTTATTATTCTACTGACAGCAGTGAAGTAAGATTCGACTCCCAATCCAGTTAGCTTTTGTACATGGAATTAGGGCAGTGTGTGTCATTGTTTTGTTTGTAAAAATACTCAGTCAACATGCATTGAGTTTGTCCTGATGCTCCTTATACAACAGTGTGGATTGATTGCTGAACTGCTGATGTCCCCTGATGTCCACTCTTCTCTTTCTTTGAATTTTAGAGGTGTTGGCTTGTTTGTTGGCGTAGATCTTGTGAAGGATCAACAAAAAAGAACACCTGCAACTGCAGAAGCCCAGCATATAATCTACAAGTAAGTATCTTGAAGTGATTATGATAGATATTCCATTCATTGGTTAAGAGTTAATAGACTTTAAAGTTGGACATATCTGGACTGAAAGTGCTGACGCCAATAGTAAACCTGGGCCTGAGTAATTTAAGAGGTTCCCATAGCTCATCACTGGGTTCATTTTTTTGTCTAATTGTTGTAACAGAGTTATTTCTGCCATTCGCAGACTAAGATGGACATAGATTTTAGATGACAAAAGCCTTGAAAATTGAAATATGTGACCACAATAACCACAATGTGAACTATGGCTTTTTATTTTAGAGAGAGGGTTTATACCTCAATTTTATTTATTTATTTTCTATATTTATACCCCACCCTTCTCACCCCCTGGGGGGGGGGGGCTCAGGGCAGCCTCACAAACACCATACAGTGTCATCATAATAACACAATCAACAATACATTAAATATTAAAGATATTAAAACAATAATTAAATCAATTGATTAACACATGCCTACTAAAAGCAGAGTCTAAAATCCAGTCCGGGTCAAATCATTGCCATAAGTGTCCAAAACTTCTTTTACTTGTTGCTCATTAATAACTTGATCAGCCTTGTATTAATCTCCCACCATCTATGAAAGGCTTGATACCTTCATATGAAGTTCACATATGTTGCTTTAAACATTCTGATCATATTTGTTGCATGACCCTCCAGCAAAGATCAAAATATGGATTCGGAGCCTAATTTGAGTAATTTATAGAACTAAGAGTTGGTATATCATCTCAATTGTAACCATGAAATAACTTGCATCTTATTGCTTTTATTAAAATTACCTGTGTTTTCCCTTCTGGACAGACTAAAAGAACAGAAAATTCTTCTGAGTGCAGATGGTCCTTACAGAAACATATTGAAGTTCAAGCCACCCATGTGTTTCAGTATGGAAGATGCAAAGTCTGTGGTCATTCAAATTGATAAGCTTCTCACTGGTAAGCATTCCTGCTGGATCCCAACCCATGTCTACCTGCTGGCTTACAAAGCTCGTCTCTAATTTTGTCCTATCACAGATAAGTCAGGGAGGAGTTGGACAAAATGCAGTAGCCAAAGTCTTGTTTTGTGTCTTGGCACATTCAAAACTATCAGTGCTATCCTTTCAGACAAAAATGGGACAAAACAAGAGAGTCTATCACTGTTGTAGTCAACTGGGGAGATTTTCAGAGACATCTTCTAGTGGCTCTTTAGTAGAGATAGTTATGAGAAGACATGAATTTAAGTGAATCATCAATCCTTATTATGTATTTCAAAAACTCAAATCTAATGAAGAAAAACATTTTTCTTGGAGTTTAAGATCATCTGGGGAGGCCCTGCTCTCAGTCCCTCCTCTTTCATTGGCTTGATTGGCGGGGACACGAGACAGGACCTTCTCATTGGTGGCTCCTCGGCTGTGGAATTCCCTCTACAGGGATATTAGATCACCCCCTCCTGACCTTCCACAAGAGAGTGAAAACGTGGTTCTGTGACCAAGTATTTGGAGTAATTGTGCAATAGATAGATATGGAATGAAGTGCAATGACTATTGGAATGGCACGGATCACACTTGAGGATTATGTGATTACTTGTGAAGATATTGTCTTAAATGTTTTAAATTGTTTTAATGTATTTTATAATTCTATTTAAATGTTTATTTTAATTGTACATTGTTTTATGGCATCAAATAGTTGCCTGTGTGTAAGCCACCTTTAGTCCCCTCTGGGGTGGAGAAAGGCGGGGTAGAAATGTTGTAAATAAAATAAAATAAATTCTATCTTTTCCTAGATTTAGAAGAAGCAACTATACACAAACCTAGAACTGGATTATCTACAAGTACACAATGCAAGCGAAAAGTAAGTTGTCAAATCTGAAGAGCACATTGCTTTAAATCACATCAACTTCCAGCATGCAGATATTGCCTTATGCTTCATTAGACTGTTAGTACTTAACTAGCACAATTTCAAAGGTTAAATGCAAGAACCAGCCCTCAGTCGTCAATAATCATATAAACTGCAATGATAAACAGGACAGGCACTTTGTAGCCAGAATGTGAACCTAGGCCATTACTGCTCCCTTAGACTACCTTCCTGGCACTACCAAAATCCCATCCATTTTTTGGCAAACATGGTACACTTGGCAGCAATTCAGTATTTATCATTGTAACATTTTGCTTGTTACTGCATGTTCTGATGGAGTCTAAGTAATGAGGGGGTGAGGATGAAGAGTTATGTGAGTGATTTCCCATGTGACCTTTCTTTGTGAGATGTTATGCAGCTAGTGAGGAACAGAGGAGCTGGCAACAAAGAGGGCAGGCATAACATTGGCAGGAATGGGACAAGAAGGAGGCAAGAGGAAGCACACTGAAAACATGAGCTGCACTCAGACTAGTTGGATTTTATAAACAACAAAATTCTCTGCCTTTTCAGCCTTCCTCTATTTTGCTGCCACTGGCAGAAAGAAACAAAAACAGTGTTAGTCATGGGGGTTGGGGAAGGAATGGGTTTGTCATGCCAGGCTGGCTGCTCCAAACAACAGCAAAGGAGATGCACTACAGTGGCTTGGGTTGATCTATAGACCAGAAATTGGCAAACTTTGGCCATCCAGGTGTTTTGGACTTCAGCTCCCGCAATTCCTAACAGCCTACTGTGGGAGTTGAAGTCCAAAACACCTGGGGGACCAAAGTTTGCCCATGCCTGTTATAGAGAGACTAATCCAAGGTTATCTAATATGTTTTATTGTTGAATCGAGAAAAAAACTTGGAGTTCTCAAATTCCAACCCAACCCAACCCAACCCAGTCCTGTCTTGGTGTTAAGTGTAGTCCTCTATAGTGGACTGACCTCATGTATAAAATACTGATGGCAACTTATCTGTCAAACTGTGTGTTCATTTTAGGTACCTGCTGAAGAGAGTTCAAACTCAGAATGTATCACTGAAAACATCAGCCACATGAACAGGAATGCCTGCAGACAAGAAAATGTTTTTTCCACGGAAAGCCAAACAGTCTCTTGCAAAAGGATCAGGACATAAATTAAAGACTTACAAAAAGAAAAAGAAAAAAAGAACAATAGCGTATGTTTGGGTGTTGTTTAAAAACGAATGGATGTATCCGACTGCTGTACATGAGATTAGCTTGGTTATACTGTCTGAGGGAGAAATGAATGTCCATTTGCTTTCAAGTGACATATGAACTATATTCTAGCATAAAACTAGCATAGTTGCCTTTGTTTAAAATGTCTAACATAGGATTTGACTGAACCGTCTTCTTCTATTTGAGATTTTAGTGTTCATTGTCAAGATAATAATATTCCATGTTTTAATGGATTATGTACTACACTGTGCAGCATTCTGGTGGGGCCATTCATGTCAGTGCTGATATTTTACAAAATGTACAATTAGCATTTTATTTCTAGAAAGCCCACATCAGCTATTTTAATAAGGGAGAGAAATAAAACTAGCCTAAACGCCTTTGACTTGTTGAAGAGATTTCATTTTCTTGTTCTCTACGGCATACATGCCACCTGTTTACTAATGAGATCTCTTCCTCCAGCCTCAGATATGTGCAGGGAAGTGATCTAGTTCTTTTTATATTCCATGTTGAAGATGTTATTATTGACTGTATTGTCTGACTAGATTGTATTGTGGCTTTTTTTTTCCATGTCAAGAGCGACTTGAGAAACTGCAAGTCGCTTCTGGTGTGAGAGAATTGGCCGCCTGCAAGGACGTTACCCAGGGGATGCCCAGATGTTTTTTTGTTCTACCATCCTTGTGGGAGGCTTCTCTCATGTCCCCGCAGGGGGAGCTGGAGCTGACAGAGGGAGCTCATCCGCACTCTTCCCAGATTCAAACTCTTGGCCTGTTAGTCTTCAGTCCTGCCAGCACAAGGGTTTAACCCATTGCACCACGGGGGGCTCCATATTATGGCTGAAAATCTGAAAGTACAATCGTTTAGATACATCAGCTCGAATACAATTGATGACAGATGTGAGTGTGACCTAGGGTTATGTGCACATATATCTTTTTAATTTTGCAACGTAAGGAGGTATCCAATGCCCCTTTGCATGGTGTTCTCTCTGCAAGCCTGATTCAAAGGGGAAATATTCTGCCCAGGGGAGAACACAACATCCAACTGCAACCAAGAGAGAAGACAAGACAAAACAATGCCTTCCTAGAGTTTCACCGTACTCACTGGATGTCCCAGAGCACAACAGCTATTTTTTCTCCCTCTCAGCTTCTAGGTGTTGCCAAATTCTTCCTGGGCACCCTGCACCCTCCTCAGGCACTAAATGGCTTTTGGGACACAGGTTAGCCACTAGAAAGATGGTGCAGCATGGGCAGTGAAACACACTTACGCAGAGGAAAGGGTTATGCTGGGTCTATGTAGATGTAAGATCTTGAAATATGTCTTCTAATTCCATATATCAGTTGTGCCGTTAATGTTATCAGCATTCTTTATGAACTCTTGATAGAAAGCTCATTTGCTCTATATCAGCCACGCCCATTGTTTATTCCAAAGAATAAAGCTATTTTGACCTCTGAGACCACGTGTTTTGAAATAAATAATTTTCTGTCAGTATATAACTATTACTGCTTTGTAAGGTTTTTCAAGTTGATCTTTACCCTTATTTTCACATCTCAAACTAGTCTTAGCTATAAATTAACATGAATAATGTATGGCCGTATCACTTTCTTGGGGAAGATGAGTAAGAGTCCAGAGGCCACTTTGGACTCTGGACCCTTGTTGCTGTGCCTCATCAGCATTTTTGAATTATGCATAGTTACCAGTGAGCAGTCGAGCAAGATTGTTTGGGCTGACTCCACATTACCCATAAAAGATAATCCTAGATATGTAACTTGTTGATGATCCTGCTTGTTTTTTTAAGTGTGTTATCTGTACAACGATTTTAGATACATGATATCTAAACATATCGGTTTCATAAGGAACTCCTCACTCATCACTTTCAGTACCCTCTTCACCTATTTCTCTAGTCACATAGCTTATAATTTCCAACTATATACAGTACAACCCCAGTATTCACCAGAGATGATGTTTTCGGACTTCATGTGAATAAGCAAAACTATAGATAGTAGCAAATCTTATTGAAAAGCCAGGCTTGGACACAGTGATCCACACTCTTGTTACATCTCAAATAGACTACTGCAACATGCTCTACATGGGATTGCCTTTGAAGACTGTTCTGAAGGTTCAAGTGGTCTAACGGGAGGCAGCCAGACTCCTCACTGGAGCGGCATACAGGAAGCATACAACCCCCCTGTTCTGTCAGCTCCACTGACGGCCAGTCTACTACTGAGCACAATTCAAAGCACTGGCTTTAGCCTATAAAGCCCTAAACAATTTTGACCCAGCTTACCTGTCCCAACACATCTCCCTCTATGAACCATCTCAGAGGTTAAGCACTTCTGAGGAGGCCCTGCTCTCAGTCCAACCTCCTTCGCAGGTGCGGTTGGTGTGAACGAGAGAAAGGGCCTTCTCAGTGGTGACCCCTTGACTATGGAACTTGCTTCCCACCAAGATCAGATCAGCTTCCTCCCTCCTGACCTTCAGAAAGAAATTAATGACATGGTTGTGGAACCAAGCCTTTGGACAGTAATGCAGTTCAATAAGTGAAGATGGAATATGTGAAATCATGATTGGAATGGCCTTTGACATAATTTTGCATTGTGTGGTTTTTAATAATTTCTTTTAATGTTTATATGCTTTTTCATTTTTGTTTTAATGTA